GGTTTACAGTTGTGATATCGTGAGATGCTTTATTGTGACTTCATTTTAGGTCTGTGTAAGGCGATAATTAATTCTTTATGTTATTGTCATTAAGTGGGTAATGAGTCACAAAACAAGTAATCAAAACATTTCAGAGGTGGGGGCGCCAAAAGTGTCTTTTCCCCCGGATGCTGAGAACCCTTGCTACGCCACTAGTCCCAGCCGACCTAATGAGCTCTGGATTGAAAGAAACGCATGTTTGGCAATGGATATAACAAATATAGTGTGGTTGAAATACTATTATTATAAACTCTTTTAATTCTTGAAAATCCTCAAGAGTCTAGATGAAGAATGAAGTGTTAAAAATATAATAGACTATTTTTTAAGTTGTTTAAGATCTACATATCTAGTATCCACAAAGACTAGTAAACGTAAGATACGTGTGTGTGTGTGTGTGTTTTCTTATAGCAAAGCCACATCAGGCTATCTGGTGTGTCCACCGTAAGATACGTATTTGAAGTTATCACGTATGTTACGTGATTTGTTCAACCTGTTATATACATATCACACGTAATTTATTTAATTTTACCCCAACAATTATAGTTGTTAACATATATTGTACTCATTCTGTAACGAAAAGTACTTCACTGTATTAAGTTATATGAATATACATTAATTCACTAAAATTACAAAAATAGCTGAGTCGAGAAATAGTGTTATTTTTTGTTTTCATTTTGACAAAATCAATTATGAGAATGATGAAAAAAATAAACAACAAAACAATTATGGTACTCCTAAACGTCCAATCAGGCTGTTTTGGTCAAGTACGTCACATTATACTTTCCCGCGGATCTATTTCCCGCCAAGTTTTGCACGTGGGCTAATGCGAAGCTTTTGGATATTTTTTTCTTTTTGTCGAGTTTGTACACTAGTTCTTACCATTGCCTCTATATTTTTTCTCAATTTTCTTTGTTTAATAAACCTCTAGTATATTTTATTAAAAATTAGCCATCTTTTTACAAACAAAAATTAAAAAAAAAATGTGGATCCAGGTACGAAGTATGGATGGTCATATTTCTGTCCGCGTGGATGAATTATCCAAATTGACAAAAATAGAAGATTTAAGAAAGCGTATAGAAGGTAAATTCAGTGCGCCTCCAGAACGTCAGCGATTGTTTTACCGTGGAAAACAGGTAGAATTAATTTAAAGTTTAATATACATGGATTTTATATTATTAAAAATGTTAAGAAAAAATTTTTAAAAACAAATTAAAGAAACTTAACAATGTGACTTATGATTATGTAATAGTAATACCATATCATACTTATGGTACAGTGTAGCTTGTAGACTAGGCCTATCTTGTCAGTCACTCGAGTAATTTTATTATATTTATTATTAAACAGTATGATTTTTATAAATTTAAAACCATTTTACGTTTTTAATCCGAACTTCGCGATAATTTTAAATCTGAAACAGTTTTACATCAACACACGGATATACAGTAACGTAAACTGACAGATTATGCTGTTCAAAACTATTACTGAATTTATTCGCCATTAGGTTTAGTTTTAGAAGTATCATAGTTACGTAGGACTACTAGTACTAGTAGCGTTGTCATAAACTGCGGACATTAAGCTAGGCTAGTGTTGGTAACGTAGTAACTAAGCCACAACAATGGCAAAGGTACAATGTTACATTAGTGTTAAGAAAAAGTTAATGATTTGTATGAAAATTAAAATTAATCAAGTTCAATGTATTTACGGCTTCAATGAAAAACCGTTTTGTATTTATATTTGAAGATTCAAAGTTCTGAGCATAAGTAACAGTTTGAAGTTCAGCTTACTGAGGGTACGACTATAGTATATACTTAGTTTAAATCTCAGCTTCTAACGTTCCAACTATGTACCTAACAGTTTAAAACTCAACTTACTGAGGTTAAGACTATATACTTAACAGTTTAAAGCTTAACTTACTATGGTTAAGACTATATACTTAACACTTTAAAGCTCAACTTACTAAGGTTGTGGCTATATACTTAAGAGTTTAAAGCTTAACTTACTATGCTTAAGACTATAAACTTAACAGTTTAAAGCTTCACTTACTAAGGTTAAGACTATAAACTTAACAGTTTAAAGCTTAACTTACTAAGGTTAAGACTATATACTTAAGAGTTTAAAGCTTAACTTACTAAGGTTATGGCTATATACTTAACAGTTTAAAGCTTAACTCACTATGCTTAAGACTATAAACTTAACAGTTTAAAGCTTAACTTACTAACGTTAAGACTATATACTTAACAGTTTAAAGTTTAACTTACTAAGGTTAAGACTATATACTTAACAGTTTAAAGCTTAACTTACTAAGGTTATGGCTATATACTCAACAGTTGAAAGCTCAACTTACTAAGGTTGCTACTATGTACATAACAGTTTAAAGCTTAACTTACTAAGGTTAAGACTATATACTTAACAGTTTAAAGCTTAACTTACTAAGGTTAAGACTATATACTTAACAGTTTAAAGCTTAACTTACTAAGGTTAAGACTATATACTTAACAGTTTAAAGCTTAACTTACTAAGGTTAAGACTATATACTTAACAGTTTAAAGCTTAACTTACTAAGGTTAAGACTATATACTTAACAGTTTAAAGCTTAACTTACTAAGGTTAAGACTATATACTTAGCAGTTTAAAACTCAACTTACTAAGGTTATGGCTATATACTTAACAGTTTAAAGCTTAACTCACTAAGGTTAAGACTATATACTTAACAGTTTAAAGCTTAACTTACTAAAGTTAAGACTATATACTTAACAGTTTAAAGCTTAACTTACTAAGGTTATGGCTATATACTCAACAGTTGAAAGCTCAACTTACTAAGGTTGCTAATATGTACTTAACAGTTTAAAGCTTAATTTACAATGGCTGCAACTATGTACTTAACAGTTTAAAGCTCAACTTACAATTCTTGGGTAATCCCACCAGGTCATTCTGAATCATACACTGGTATCTGTCTTTCTCAGCATCTTAGTTTTCTGTTTAACATTCTAATAAATACTGCAGTTAAAATCTTTTAGGAAAATTTCTAATACATTTTTAAAATTTGACAATAAATTATGTTCAACTTTTAAAGTTGATAAACATCAAACATTTTTTTTATGGGGACCAAAAAAGGACTTAAAATTTGAGCTTTTCGTATATTAATATTAATAATTTCCCAAAACATAACCCATTAACAAGACATTATAAATTTCTCAAAAAATAATAATTAAGGCTTAAGTGAGGTGGCTGCCCACCTCCGTGCACCTGTTTTTTGAATGGAAGAACATTAATACTTTTTCCACCTTCAAGGAACACGACAGAGTATAAGGCTTAATGATTGAAGCAATTGAAACAGTTACCCCTGTCTTACTTAGAATCATCCTTTCTTGGAATAAACATGTTAGAGAACACAGCCAGATTCCTCTTCAGCCGGTACAGTGAACTGTGTAGGTTGTTCATCCAAATGTCATTCTGAACAATAAACATACATAATGTACATTGAATACATGCCAGGTTACTTTGTCGGTTTTGTTCCATTTTTACATGATTTTGAAAGTTATTATATCAGTCACTTGAATATGCAAATTTCTTTTGGAAACTAGAGGATAAAAAAATGCAATATGTAATTTTTGACATGTACATACTAAGAAGTTTTTATATTTATTAATTCCTTTATATATTTCCTAATATAATGTTTGCTTCCATGTTTTTGAAGGGTGTAACAACAAAAATGTCTAAATACTGATGTTTACAATTAACTAAGTTAAAATTATGCATAAGATAACATAATTAGTACCAGCTGTAAGCATCGTTGAATGGTTTATTCTTTGCCTTTCTGTTGTTCAATGACGTAGGTGAGTTCTTACTATTTATTATAAAACATAGAAAAATCACTATTACATTTTCTGTAAGTTAGTTTCCTGAATTAAAAACCATTTTTGGGGAACAATTTATGTATTTTAAACAATGTATTAATTAAGAATAGTATTCTTTTCAGTTATTCTTGAAAAACTTTAATTTCTAATACATAACTTGCATTAAAATGTAATTTGATCAAGTGTTGCTGAATTAATATTATAATAGCAAAGTTTTGATTAATACATTAAGAGACTGTCAGTTTCCTACAACATTAAAGAATATTCCAAACATTGTGCTGATGGGTAAATTACATGATGTTTTTATTCTTGTTTATGTGCATGTATTGGATACCTAACTGTTTTTCAGCTGGAAGATGGACATACGTTATTTGACTATGACGTTGGACTCAATGACATCATACAGATCTTTGTCCGCCCTGTTCACAGTGACCAGCCAATCAAAAAATCATTAAAATCCCACAAAGAAGAGGTAGAAGAAACAAGTAGCAGCGATGAGAGCACGGGTTCAAACAAAGAAAACAAACTGGTGGGTTATTTGAAACTAGAAACTTTCTCTGACATCGGTGTCTGGTAAACAATTACCATATTAGTAACGATTACTAATATGTGATGTTTTAGATGTTCCCATTCTGTCCTTCTTCCTAAAATATATCAAGAACATCACAGAATTTCATCATCAGTTCCTTAGTGTGTTTTTTTAGGTACTAAAAGCTTGAACATATTGTTTTTTGTTTTTTTTTCGTGAAAAGTATCATGGGACAAACCTGAATCTTTTAAGTTGGTAAACCTTGTGAAACAATGCATTTTAATCTTTATAAGTAGAAAGGTAAGAAAAGTATATTTGATTGGTTATACTGATGGACAGGTTAATTTTTAATTTTACTCCAAGTATGTAGGTTACTCTGATCAGAAGTTATTATATACTAATATGCTAATATGATTTTTTTTTGTAAATATACATTTTTCAAGACAGCGCATCTTTAGAAAAGGGATTTTGTTTCATCACTAGAGCTTTATTTTAATTGGGAATTTGCTTCTTCTGCACTATTTAGGGCTTCATTCTAACACTTCAGTTACCAGTGTGTACCCCATCCAGTGGTTGAGGGACAAGTCTGAGGACTTTTAACACTAAAAATTGAGTTTTGATACCTATGGTGGGCACAGAACAGATTGCCCATTATGTAGCTTTGTGCTTATCAACAAACAAAACCAATTATTGGTACACATTTCATAGATCAAACCACCATATTTCTTGCCAAGTAGCTCCATATATAACGAGATTTCCAGAACTGTTCAGGTGTCTTTGTGTCTGAGTTCACATGTTTAACAAAGATATGTTGTGTGGTACAGTATTATCATGTTGAAAGAGGAATGTGTGTTCTCAGTGGGGTTTCGTTAATACGGGTCACAAGCTTTTCAGAACGTTACAACATTACAAGTTATTTTCTGTTGTTTGGAGTATCACTGTGATATACTTAAACACTGATGAAGCTAAGCCAATTGTACAGTTTTCCGTGTTGCTCGTATGAATCGGCTACCTTTGAAGAAGCCCACACAGAAATGCATGGTTTGCTTGAAATTCCAGGACAACGGTTTAAGTTAGTATAAACCCTTTAACTGATTAAAAGGATCTTCAGACATCCAAACAACAAGGATGTGATTGACTGCTAAGAAAGTTAGAAAAACATTATGTGAAAATACTTTAATAAAGATATATTCTAAGCTAGTTATGGATGGGTGACTATTTTAGTTATTACACTACTAATGGAACAAGTCCAAACCAGATAAAACAAATCTATGCAGCTTGTGGTTGGAACAACTCATTTATTACTTAAGGCACCACAAGATTTTTTTTTTTCAACAAGTTTCAACTTGTCCATGAAATCCAACTACACTGAGCTAATGAGAACCATTGGGTGATGTATTTATTAATCTGTACTGTTGGGTGATGTAGATTGACCTACAATATTGGGTGATGTATTTAGTGATTTGTATTCAGTAACTACTCTTTTGTTTGAATTGATAGAGCTCCACTTGTCTGTAATAATTTGACTGTCAATTATGCTACCAATATTGTATCCAATAACCACTCTTTCTTGAACTCCCAGAGTTCCTCCTTTTCTAATAGGTTGACTATCAATTATACTACCAATATTGTATCCAATAACCACTCTTTCTTGAACTCCCAGAGTTCCTCCTTTTCTAATAGGCTGACTATCGATTATACTACCAATATTGTATCCAATAACCACTCTTTCTTGAACTCCCAGAGTTCCTCCTTTTCTAATAGGCTGACTATCGATTATGCTACCAATATTGTATCCAATAACCACTCTTTCTTGAACTCCCAGAGTTCCTCCTTTTCTAATAGGCTGGCTATCAATTATACTACCAATATTGTATCGAATAACCACTCTTTCTTGAACTCCCAGAGCTTCTCTTGCCTCCAATAGGCTGTCTATGTCAGCTATTATAATGTTTGATGGAATTCACTTGCAATTCCAATCAAAATAGGTTTTACCTAGCTGATGGTGTGCTGTTTGAATATATTTCCTGTACTTACTGGGGTAGATAGAAATCTGTGTATAAGTTAAGTTCGTTGGTCACTGAAATATCCACTAAGCTTTATTGGTAAGTTTATGTGATTGTTTTGAAGTTATAATTTGAAGCCCTGATTAAAACATACTATAACTGTTCATATTTGATAGCTGAGGTCAGCTAATCGTGTAACAAATGATTTCTAATTAATTAATTAGTTGTTTTTTTAACCAAAGGAGACTGAATATCAAGAAAGTGGTAAGGTAGAGGATGGTACATCAGCAAAAGAAAACAACAGATTAGAGCCAAGTCTCAGTAAATATTACCAGGTGGGTTGATATTTCATCTTTAAGTAACTGTTGTACATCTTAATCTTCAAGTTGTGGTTAGATTTACGTCCCAATTTGATTGGAGGAAAATAAATATTGTTAATAATAGTTCAGGGTACATTTTTGCTAAAATTCAATACATTTGTTATACATTGTACTATAAAATGTGATAGTGTTGGACAAGAGAATTCTATTGGTATAATCAGGTTCTCAAAATATTCACTATATTTTCAGATGTTTAGCATCATACACAGATTGATTAACCTCAAAACTCGAAAAGCAGTTATTTTACCAACATTCAACATTATATTGTACTTATTAACAACCTGGAATATTCAATTTATAAAGCCAATAACAAGATTCAGGTTTTAGTAAACAATGGGATGGACTCGGTCCATCTTATATTCAGTGATCAAAGTTTATGTTCTGTTCTTTATGTTTTCACAGTCGAAAATGTAGTGGTACTGTGATTGTCTTCTAGTTGGTTTTCTTAGCAAGAGATTCTAATGTGGAATTCTTCTCAGAAATGGAGATTGGTACAGCATCACAGTTGTTAAGATAGTGTGGGATTAAAGGCAAGCAACATTCATTGAATACATTGCTATTGGTGTAGAGTTCATGTGCTCAAAGTGCAAACAAGGGTATATTGATTCAACTACTAGATGGCTCTTCAGTCACAGAAAGAAACTGTAACGTTAAAACCTATACCACCAGTAGTGTTACCAGTCACTGTCTAAACGAATGTGATGTGTCAAATTCCAGTTTCCTTTGTATAATCTTCCAGTTCTGGGAAGAGTCCCAACTCAGAATAATAAAGTGAAAGTTCAGCATATATAAAATAATTGTTTCTTCAAATTGACTTGTTAAAGAAAGTATTTTTAGATCATACATGGAAATTTGAGATGATCGTTTGTGACAGCTTCAAAACGTTGTAGTTAGAAAATCCTTGCTGTGATAAATAAACGAATAATTGAAAAGGTTTCACAAAAAAAAGGTGACATCCTGGTTACTTAAGGCATTTTTACGAAGGAGTTTCTTTATTAAATTACTGTTAGATGTACTAATTAATGAATTACTGCCATCTATTAATTGTAGTTTGTTTTTAACTTCTTGAAGTGATTTATGCTGTAAAATATTAAATTAACACTAAAACATATCTATACTACCAATAAGCATACTTTATTTTTATTTACTTTCAAATTCAATTTACTTGTAAGTTCAAGCGTGAATAATTATTTGAGAATGATAGAAAATAACAAAAGACTTTGAAATTAATTCATAATACTGGTGGTCTCCATTATTTTTGTCGGGTTGTTTAGGTTGGCTCTCTTGTGGATGCCAAAGATGTTAACCTCGGAGCCTGGTTTGAAGGGAAGATTGTAAACATATATAGGAATAAGTCTGAAACGAGTAACAAAGGCCACAATCCTATTGTTAACTTGACAGAAAAAACAGACAGTGAAATAGACTCTGTGAGTAACACTTGTACACTAGAAGTAAAAAACTTCGACCCTGCACAGAATCATGGCATTATACTTAATGATTGTCTCAATCCAGTCCACGAGAGGAATAATGAAGAGGCTTCATCAGAAAATAGAGACAGAGAATTTGATGATCTCGTGTATGAGGTGAAAATTGAAAAGTAAGTAAGCTTGAATTTAAGTCTTTTTGCAAAATAAGATAAAATTCAAATGAAGTTTACAGTTGCTGTATATTTACCTTTGATACCTATGTCTGAGTTAAAAATAGACTGATTGTAAGTAGTTTGAAGAAGCTTATACTGCTCAAAGGAGGTTCAAAAATACAGCTTTTGACTGATTATGTCATAAAAACTGCGATGTTGGACATTTAAGTTTCAAACAAGAAAAGCACGATTTACTGGATACATGTTGTAAAATTTCACCTGTTAGTTTTACTTTCTGAGAAAAATTAAAAGTTTTTTTTACTTTGTTTGTCAGTTTGGCCAGTTAAAAGCCTCAGTTTTTTCCTTCAGTAAAATACATTTACAGGTTACTTGAAGCTTTTGTGTTTAAATTTAGGTGAAATTAAAACCAAATAAATATTTTATTCTAGATTGTTTCAAATTATGAGATAAATCAAAAAGTGTTTTGAATATAATTCTCTTAGTTCTAATTAAAAGGTCCTGATGAATGTTGTTTTATTATAACAGATGTTTAGAATAGTGATTGAACACAAAGCATTATTTTGTTAAATAATTCAGCTACGAAGAAGATGAACCCTTAAAGCTCAGACTAGAGCAGATCCGTCCAAGGGCACGAACAGTTGTAAGGTTTGACGAAATTGAAGAAGGTGAAGTATACATGGTCAACTACAGTATCGAGGAGCCCGAAGAGAGAGGATACTGGTATGACTGCTTGATAACGAAGATGAAAAATGCTAGAACTATTAAACAACTTTACGGGACTATATACAGTTATGACTTCATTACTCAGACTACTATTTACACTAACAGTTAGTGAACATACCCAATGTTATGACTTCATTACTCAGACTACTATTTACACTAAAAGTTAGTGTACATACCCAATGTTATGACTTCATTACTCAGACTACTATTTACACTAACAGTTAGTGTACATACCCAATGTTATGACTTCATTAATCAGACTACTATTTACACTAACATTTAGTGTATATACCCAACATTATGACTTCATTACTCAGACTACTATTTATACTAACAGTTAGTGAACATACCCAACATTATGACTTCATTACTCAGACTACTATTTACACTAACAGTTAGTGTACATACTCAACATAATGACTTCATTACTCATACTACTATTTACACTAACAGTTAGTGTACATACCCAATGTTATGACTTCATTACTCAGACTACTATTTACACTAACAGTTAGTGAACATACCCAACATGTTCACTAACTTTTAGTGTAAATAGTAGTCTGAGTAATGAAGTCATAATGTTGGGTATGTTCACTGACTGTTAGTGTAAATAGTAGTCTGAGTAATGAAGTCATAATGTTGGGTATGCACACAAACTGTTAGTGTAAATAGTAGTCTGAGTAAAGAAGTCATAATGTTGGGTATGCACACAAACTGTTAGTGTAAATAGTAGTCTGAGTAAAGAAGTCATAACTTTGGTTGGGTCGGTGAATTTAGACAGTGTTTTTCAATTTATTCGTAGTTTGTTAAAAATGAATAAAAATAACCCGAAATACAAATTCTCTACATCCAGTAAGATTCCAGATTTCAAGTGATTTTCTTTACATGCTTTAAAAAATTGACTGAAATACTTCCTCAAGATGCAGAAATATAAATATCAAACTTCAATTTTTGTATAATTTTTGATAAAGATATATTCAACACTAACCTGCGTAGCCTGGTGGCTGCCGTGATGGAAAGTGGATCAAAAGGTCCGTGATTCTCACCCCAATATCGCAATGTCATGCCCCAGGCACAATATAAGAGTAATTGTGAAATCTCATCATTTGATTAGAGTAGCCCATGAGTTGGAGGTGGGTGATGTTGACTAGCTGCCTTCCCTCTATCATTTAAAAATAATATTTTAATTTAAAGTAAAATCTAACTATTTTCACTCTTTATTGAGCCTCCTAATGTGAACACAAAGCTGAACTGGTTATTATTGAAAAAGTTGAAAGTTTCCTTATAACTTATAGAAAATTTGCTTTGTATTTTGATAAACAAAAAATTATATATTAAATGTAAAAAAACAACCAAAATGACATTTTCGGTAACAATAAAAGATAATCTTTATCAGTTGTTTGAGCCGACGAATTTCGACAACACAGTTACCACCATCAGGAACAGTGTTTTAAAAATGAACTCACCCATTTAATGGGTGAAATTTAATATAGGCATTGTATTCATTGTCAGGAGATAAGGGGAGGTGGGTAGGTATATAATATTTCTAATAGGACAAAAAACAAGATTGAAAGAACACCGGTATGTCATAAAGTACAGTCACACCATATGCTGAACATTTCTGGTAAATATGTTTAGGAAAGTATTTACATAATTAAAAACAGATCTCTGTCTATAAAGAGAGATGACCGACCAATCAATGTGTTCTACCAAAGAAACTGTTTATCTTAACTATGTGGTTCCAACACTTCCTGCAGCAAATCTTCATTGGGAAAAAAGAACTCTGAGAACCATTAAAAAGGTGACTGCTTATGTAGTTGAGGGTAAGAATGTGGATTTGGTGTATCTGGATTCTCCGAAAGGATTATAATTAGTATGGAAGAAAAGGATTTTGATGTTCTATTTGATCAATCTCTAAAGCCATCCAAGTAGTGTTGTTGCTATCGGCAGGGAAAGTGGGATTTTAGGTTGTATCTACAGAAATGTTGAATACAAGTCTAAAGTGGTTATAATTTCATTATATAGGTCACTCGTTAAGTCTCATATGGAGTAGTGCTCAACCCTCCTTTCAACCCTACTAGGGTGATATCTTGAATGGAAAGGCTGTTGCTAGCAGCAGGGAAAGTGGGATTTTAGGTTGTATCTACAGAAATGTTGAATACAAGTCTAAAGTGGTTATAATTTCATTATATAGGTCACTCGTTAAGTCTCATATGGAGTAGTGCTAAACCCTCCTTTCAACCCTACTAGGGTGATATCTTGGATGGAAAGGTTGAATGCGATGACAGGTTAATAATTCTGAAATTGTTTTCTCTTGAAGAATGAAGAGTTAGGGGGAATCTTATTGAGGTATTTAGGATTGTTAAGGGAATTGATAGTGTTGATGCATGATCATTTTTCATATTTAATGATGAGACTAGAGGACAAATATATATATTTAGGAAGGGTAGGAGTCATCTTCAGCTAAGACAGCTTTATTTTTATAACAGGGTGGTTGGCCTTTGGAATGAGTTGCCTTCAGATGTAATTGATGCAGCTAATTGAAGGGAGTTTAAAGGAAGGCTTTTTAAATATGTAAATGATAAGAGCTGGCTTTGAGTTTTTTGTTTTTTTTAATAGTTTAATTCATTGGATGTGACAGCCTAAATGGACCAGTCTTGTTCTTAATGTTACGTTATGAATATCTTAGTCATGTTTGTGGAAAAAAAACATTGTATTTTTACATGTAGTCCTGGCGTGAAAATTGAAAGGAATAAAATTAAGCTAAATGTAGGAATATGAATTACAACAACAACCATTACACAATAATGGTCATGTTAAATTAGTGTTTTCCAGTTAGCAGAACATTGCTTATAGATAGGAGGGAACTAATTAAGAGATGATCTAGTACATTTGGATAGAAGAGGATTGATTACAAGAATATATAGTAGATATGGAATAAAGGGGATTAATTCAAAGATACAGTACATATGACAGTAGTTAATCACAAGAGGATTTAGTTTGTTTGACTAGGAGTTAATTATAAGATGATACAGTATGTATGGTTAAAAGGGGAGTTAACTATAAGATGGTTAATTACAATAAGATTTTTGGAGATTTCTTGAACTATTTCTACCTACTTTTCACATTTGTTTTATATTGTTACATCATTGTGTTTCAAAAACTTACCTGGTAGCACACAGACAAATGTCGTGAAACTCTTCAACCAGCCATGTTAACTGGTGATGTTACACTTCACTGTCATGAGTTAATATGGAGATTTCCAGGCTGTAATACAGAATTTGTTGGTTCACTAGAAAGGGCTGGTATTAGCTATCTTAATAAAATGAGAAAATATTAATTACAGGCCTGACTCTGCTCCACTAGACAACTGCAAGATAGTATTCATGGATGAAGTGTACAAAATTGAGGAGAAAAAAGAAATTGATTTTAATAATGAAGAAGATCAAAAAGTTACATCTCTGGAATCACCAGCTAAAAGTAAGTTTATTGTATTATACAATGGAATCACCAGCTAAAAGTAAGCTTATTGTATTATACAATGGAATCACCAGCTAAAAGTAAGTTTATTGTATTATACAATGGAATCACCAGCTAAAAGTAAGTTTATTGTATTATACAATGGAATCACCAGCTAAAAGTAAGTTTATTGTATTATACAATGGAATCACCAGCTAAAAATAGGCTTATTGTATTATACAATGGAATCACTAGCTAAAAATAGGCTTATTGTATTATACAATGGAATCACCAGCTAAAAATAGGCTTATTGTATTATACAATGGAATCACTAGCTAAAAGTAAGTTTATTGTATTATACAA